CTCACCTAGCACGTGCGAGGGCCTGGGTCTGATCCTCAGCACCACATAAAAATAAATAAAATAAAGACATTGTGTCTAGTTACAACTAAAGAGTAAATATTAAGAAGATTAAAAAAAACAATTTTGAGCTTTTAATTGAAATATAGGAGTAGGGAATTTTACTTAATTTTTGTATCACAAACCACTGATTGTGGTGAGGATACCTCAGTGGGTGCGCCTGTCCAGGGCCTCAGCCTTCCCTCGGGTGCCCTCGGCAGCCTCTCCAGCCTGCCCTTCTTGCTAGTGCCAGGACTGCATTTCAGGGCCTTTATTCTTTCACCATTCTCTTTCTCTTTAGCATTTCCTAGGGAAAGATGCAAACCATTCAAACATTTATACCTTTAAATGCATGTATTAGAAAGTGTAAAAATGTCTACCCAAATTGAACATGGGTTCAAGTGGTAGCGAGCTCGCCTGGCATGCGTGCGGCCCGGGTTCGATCCTCAGCACCACATACAAACAAAGATGTTGTGTCTGCTGAAAACTAAAAAATAAATATTAAAAAATTCTCTCTCTCTTAAAAAAAAAATAAATAAAAGAAAGTGAAAAAGAAAAGCACGTTATACCCAAAAGCAAGAAGAAGGAAGGAAATAGTAAAGTGATGCTAAAGTATGGGAATCATCAAAGCAAAATGTACATATGGTAAAGAAATTTCATTACATAAAAAATTGGTTCTCTGAAAAGATTAATAAAGTCAATAAACATTTAGCTGGACCAATAAGGAAAAAGGAGAAAAAAAACCCATAAATCACCAGTGTCAGAATGAGAAAGGGACATCACTATAAATCCTTCAAGCATAGGATGAAAGAGAAGGAATATTATGAATGAGTTACTTTAAACAAAATCAACAAATTCCTGGAGAGCACAGATTTCCAAAACCCACACAAGTACCATAAGCCACCTGAGTTGTGTGGTCACTAGTAAAGGAGCCACACTGTAACTAGGACTCCTCCCACAAAGAGCACTGGAGACTGCACTGGGGCAGGCCTCAGAATGTCCTGTGAAGCACTTGAGGAGCAGCCCAGTCAGTGCCTCTGTCTTTCCCAGGAGCAGGGAACAGTGGGCGCACCATAGGACACCAGCTTTATCCAATGACAAAATCACAGAGGCATCATAGAACCTGGTAAGAAAGTCCAATTCCCTGAGCTTCCAGAAACTCTGTGGTTAAAAACCCGCCTGGCACTTTGAATCTGTGAACCTAAACTTCCAGCTTAGAGCTTGTTTTCCAGGGGCTGCTGATTACTTGTGATTTTACCCTGCTGTTCGACTCTCCAGATTTTGCTGTCATTTTCCCTCCATCCTCGGGGAAGTTACGCTTTTGCTGACTTAAGAGTCCCAGACCATCCTTCTGGGGTAGTTTTGCTCTGTTCTGAAGCACATTGAGCACTCCCTCAGTGGGGTTCTCCTGGGAGGAAGCACTTGCAGTCTTCGCCATGCTGGGCACAGCTCTGGGTTGACAGTTGCCCTCAACATTCAGGAAGTCTAATCCAGCCATCTTCTGACTGCACGGCTGCTGCCGAGCAGTTCTGTACTGAGTAGCGGCACCTCTGTGGGCAACATGTCCCCTCCCCTGGGCCCTGAAGGTCTCTGTGTGCTCTGCGCTCAGTTCCACATGCTGTGCAGACAAGACTGCCCTCGTTTGTTCTCTTTGGGACATGCTGTGCTGCTTCTGCACACACCTTTTTACGCTAACCAGTTCTCTACACTGCATTTTTTTTTCACTAAAAATCATGACTCTTCTTCATCTTGTCTACCATCTCCTTTAGACTCACAATTTTTTGAAATCCTGGAATTTCCCATTTTGTCTTCCACATCTTTTTTAAGGGTTCCCTCTGCTGTGTCTGTGCTGCATTCCGGGTCTCAGCTCCATCTTTCTGCTCACCCGCGCTCTCTAGCCACACTTCTCCTAGCCACGCCCAGCGCTCTCTAGCCACACCTCTCCTAGCCACGCCCAGCGCTCTCTAGCCACACCTCTCCTAGCCACGCCCAGCTCTCTAGCCACGCCCATCTCAAGCCACACTTCTCCTAGCCACGCCCAGCGCTCTCTAGCCACACTTCTCCTAGCCACGCCCAGCGCTCTCTAGCCACACTTCTCCTAGCCACGCCCAGCGCTCTCTAGCCACACTTCTCCTAGCCACGCCCAGCGCTCTCTAGCCACACTTCTCCTAGCCACGCCCAGCGCTCTCTAGCCACACTTCTCCTAGCCACGCCCAGCGCTCTCTAGCCACACTTCTCCTAGCCACGCCCAGCGCTCTCTAGCCACACCTCTCCTAGCCACGCCCAGCGAATCTAGCCACACCTCTCCTAGCCACGCCCAGCTCTCTAGCCACGCCCATCTCAAGCCACACTTCTCCTAGCCACGCCCAGCTCCTTCTAGCCGCTATGCGTACTCAGCTCTTTGGTCCACTGACAGCTTTTGTTGTTTAGTAGTTTTTCCTTTCCAAATTTGTTTCTTTTCTGTTTGTTTGTTTTTTTTTTTTTAATTTTTTTATTTTTTTTCTTCCAAATTTGTTTCTAACAGCCATTCATCAACTGTCCTTTTATTCTACCTGTTTTATATTGTTCTGCAGTTCCCCTAAGTGATGGTGACTGTCTGGCTCTGTTGGACTCTTCTGCTGATACCATCAGTGGTGGAGACTTTTTTCTGGTTATGGGATGATCTGTGTGTTGTGCCCATGACTCACTGTGATTGTGAGGCTCTCGGGGCCACCCTGGGGACTGGGGAGCTTCCTGTAGACAGTCTGCACTGCTCTTCCCTACTGAGGGTGCTGTTGGCTCCTTGTTGCAGCTCCCATTCAGTTTGTTTCTTGGCTTACTTTGGGAAGTGGGGAGGGGAGGTCTTCTGGAAAAGGCAGTGTCTCAGGTGGTGTCTGCACCAGAGTGCAGAGTCCAGCTGTTCTGGGTAGGTGGAGGGCATCTCTCTAGAGCACCTGGCCAGCCCTGGGGTCAGTAGGGGATAGTAGGCAGACTCTGGATTGTGCCATCTACACGTCCGGTCCAGAAGCTCCCGTGGAGTGGGGTGGGCGTGTTCAGTCTGCCATCTGCCAGGAAGTCCCTCCTGTCACTTCTCAGGCCCTATCTTCCCTTATTCCTGCCCTGCCACAGACTGACCAAATCTGGCCTCCATCACTGCATATTACTGAGCACAGGGGGCCATTCTCATGATTTTCCCCTGGCTGACCACTTCCTCCTCTCACTGCACACACTGGGCCTGGCACCTCTTGGCCCCCAGTGTGTGCACAACCAGCTGATGGACAGCCCGCCTCTTTGGCCAGGTGTCCCTCAGCTACCCTGAGATATTCATTGTGTGATGGGGCCACCGACTCCACCCAGGATGCTCAGGTGTGGACAGTGTGGCCCCTCCTTCCACTTCTCTCCCCAGGTCTCCAGGACGGCAGGCCCTGCCATGGCCCGGGGTTGGTGACATGGGCTGTAAGGGTCCAGGGCTGCAGTGTCACCAACCCCGGGCTGTTGTGTCCAGGTCTAAGCTCATCAGCTCAGCACCTTCCCACTCTGGGCGCGAGCTGTGGTCTACTTAAGAATCCCAGACTGGGCTGGGAGGGTGGCTCAGCGGTAGAGCGCTCGCCTAGCATGGGCGGGACCCGGGTTCCATCCTCAGCACCACATAAAAATAAAGCCAGTGTGTTGTGTCCATCTACACCTAAAAAATAAAGATTAAAAAAAAAAAAGAATCCCAAACCATCCTTCTGGGGTAGTTTTGCTCCTGACGTAGGGTGACCCTAACCCTAGCCGGCAGTCTGGTGGTCCTGCAGTTTGCTGATTCATAGCTGAGGGTGTCAGGGCCGTGTGCGTCTTGAGTGGTGGGTTTCTCTCGAGCAGGCTCGCTGGGTGCCTGGCCTGGGGCAGCGAGCATCCTCTTGGCAGGGTCCTGGTCGTGCTCTTCATCTCCATGTGCCTCGGGCGTTGCCGTGCAGGAGCCTTGGAGGAGAGCTGCTAGCCAGCCCAGGGCCCTGTGAGCTTGGGCTATGTCCAGGACCTTTCAGGACGACAGGGCACAGGGTGATGGGAGAGGATCTGGGTCTGACTCTGGAAGCATCAGGGGTAGGGTCTTAGCCAGCCTGAGAATGGTCTAACAGGTCCCCTCGGGGCAAGGGGCCCATCTCCCATGCCCGGCCTGCTAGAGGAGGGCTGTGCCAGGGTCCGTCTCCTGAGTCCTCCACCTCATGCTGTGGCCCGGCCCGCTGCAGCACTAGGGGCCTCTGGCATGCACGGGAGAGACAGGAAAACCCATGGCCAGTTCTAGTGGACCTGGGGTGTCCCCAGCAGCCTATGACTGAAGTCTTGTTCCCTGGGGTGGTGCTGTTGGAGCTGGTGGGTCCTTGAGGAGGTCTTAGGTCACGGGGGTGGGGGGTGTGCCTGTGACAGGGACAGTGGGACCTGGCCCCCTCCTCTTTCTTCCACTCCAGCCCTGAAGTGAATGGCTTTGCTCCTCCACACAGCCTCCTCACTTGATGTGCTGCCTCACCACAGGTCCCGAAACAATCGTTCTGCCAGACCACGGGCTGAAACCTTCCACAGCGTGAGCCAAAATAACCTCAGGTATTCTGTCACTGTCACAGAAAGCCAACAGCACGCAGGCATCGGTGAGGCTGGAGGTTGGGCCCCTGAGCTCAGATCCCCAGAGGTGCCTGCTGGTGGCCAGCAGAGCTGCTCAGTGCAAGGGGACAGTGCGAGGGCTGGTTGGCCCAGCCGCCTGTGGGTGCTCTGGGTTTCTGTCACTTGCTGCCTGCACATGACTCCAGGTTCCGGGATGAGCCAGCAGCCCTTCATGCTGCTCCGGGGCTGATGCTGGCTTCAGAAGCTTTGACCTCAGGTCTCCCCACTCCCCACCCCCAGGTGCTCGCAACCCCACCCTGCCTCCCAAATGTGTCTCCTGTCACCACACACCCAGCAGCCCTCTGCCGAGGTGTCCAGGAGAGGCGTGGGGATGGCCACTGGTGTTTATCAGGGACAGACAGCCTTTATTCCAATGCAAAGAGGTCATGACAGGAAGACACCCAGGTTCTAACGCTGCCCCTCTCCTTGTCTCTCATGGGCACCCTGCTCCCAGGTGGCAGGCATGCCCAGGAGTGGGGGGTGGTGGCCTGGGGCTCCAGGTCTGAGGTATTCTGCAACCTTGTGTGCACAGGGCTTTGGGATTGGGCGTCCCCTCTCCTGCTCTTGGGGTGCATGTTCTCGCCTCAGAGGCAGCCTCCCAGAGGAGTGATAAGTTATGGGGGACATAATGCAGAGCAAGACCCTCAGGACCAACGAGCCTGAGGAAGCGCCTGCCACAGCCCTGGGACCCCACCTCTGCACAGGCTCTCCATACCCAGGAGGGGCGCCCGGCGGCCTGGCCGCAGGCAGCCGCCCTGACCCTCCGAGAGCCCTGTGTGACCCAAGCCTGAGGAGGCCGTGGAGTGCTGGGCTCTGGGCTTAGACACAGTTATCAGGCACACACTCGGCCTCTTCCTCCAGCTCAGGGCAGGGCGTCCCGTGGTTGGCCGGCTGGACGCGGACATAGCGAGTCCTTCTCTTGGTGCTCAGCTTCCCACAGGGGCCTCCGCACAGTCCCCAGGATGACCACAGAGAAACCTCACAGTCCAGCGGCGTTTCTGGGACTGGACCAAGCACAGGGGAGAGGGTAGGGCAGCACTGAGAGGAAGCAGAAGCCAGAAACTGCCCCCCCCCCGCCCCGCAGCCTTTCTGCCTGGGTCTGCAGTGCCCTGGGCTTTGGCACCAGTCCCTGGGAGCCTCACAGGAGGCCATGGGGTGGGGTGGGGTGGGGGTCTCTGGTGGAGGGTCTCTGGCCAAGCCCCGCCCTCAGGCCACAGCAGCCCTTGGAACTGGCTGATTTCTGAAGACAGAGGACCCTGGGTCTGGGCTGCGGGAGCTTGTCCTGGTGGCACCCAGACACTTTGGTCCTTTCTTCCTGTGGCCTGTCTGTCCGTCTTCATTATATTCATAAAGTTTAAAATCATCGATTTGGGGTTCTGGTCCACCCACCTGGTAATCTCCACTTTCCAGCCAGAAGGCCAGTGCTTGCCTTTTTGTTTAGTGTGCTTTTTTTTTTGGAGGGGGGGTACTAGGGATTGAACCCAGGGGCACTCATCCACACCCCCAGCCCTATTTTGCATTGTATTTAGAGACAGAGTCTTGCTGAGTTGCTTAGGGCCTCACCACTGCAGAGGCTGGCTTTGAACTTGGGATCCTTCTGCCTCAGCCTCCAGAGCCGCTGGGATTATAGGTGTGTGCCACTGCACCCAGCTGGATAGCACTTCTCTGTGCCCATTGCCCAGGGGAGGGTCTCCCCACACAAGGGGCCAGGAGCCCAGGTGAAATGTGTGTCAGCAGCCAGCAACAGGGTGGTGGCCTCACACTGAAGGGCTTTGTTATCACATATCTCACCCTCACCATGCTACCTGCACTGTGACTGCTGAGGACCAGACCCCAGAACAAGTCACAGGTGTTAGAAGAATCAGGGAGGAGGGTGGAAAAGACAAGGGGTTGCGTTGCGGGGCACAGGACCTGGAATGTTCCAGAAGCTCCAGCCAGGCCTGTGCCTGGAGAAGCCCTCTGCACAGCACAGAGGGGTGGGACAGGGTCTGCAAAGACCCTCGAGAGCGGGGCTTCAGAGAGGCAGACTCCCCGGCTCTTCCCAAAGCCTTGCCTGAGAGCGAGAGCCCTGGGCAGCAGGCCAGGGGACAACAGAGCCCGGCCAGCACAGGACCTGCTTTCCTGCTCCCCAACTGGGAAGGCCGGCAGTCGGGGCCTGGCCTGGGCTGTAAGTGCTGCAGCAGCCCTGGGCTCACCGTGGACCTCTTGGGCCTGGAGACAAGGTGTCCACTTGCGAGACAGGAACAAGTGGAGCCCAGTCTGGGCCTGGTGGGAACTTCCTGGAGGGCACCCATCAGTGCCCAGCATGGCTTCCACCTTGGAAAGGCTCTGCTCCCCCAGGGATAGTGGCAGGTGCCAGGCAGAGAGCCCAGGGCCTCAGCTGTGGTGGACATGAGGAGCCAGCCTGCAGGCAGGGACCAGGAGGGGCTGGCTGTGAGGCCCTTCTTGGGGTCTGGGGATGCCTTGGGCATGTGGAGAGCAGGGCACCAGAGCCTTCCCTGTTGTGCTCCTCAGACTCCTGGGGTGTTGGGTGGCAGGGCTCAGCTTGATCCAGCGCCCTCTAGCGACATCTCTCAGTGGGATTCTGCAGTACTGCACGCTGTTCACTCCACACTGTGGTCCCTGGCTGACCAGCTGGCTCTGTCTACCCTACCCTCCCTTCTCCGTGTCCCTCCTCCACACAGATCTCCCCTCCTCTCCCTGCCTTCCCATTCCTGCACTGTCCCCTCTGCTCCTGTCCCTGACAGCCCCATGTCCCACACCCCATGTGGCTGGATGCCAGCCACGGGTGGGACAGAGCCTCTCCAGTGATCTGCACTAGTCGCTCTTCCGGCCGGCCTGCAGGCACAGCTGGTGGCATGAACGAGTGACATGAGGCTGTCCACCCAAGTGGGGCATCAGATCCCGGAGCGGGCACCTCGTTGGGCAGGTGGGGCAGTGCCACCTTCCAGCATCCCAGACTGCCCTCTGAGAGGAGGGGCAGGAGTCGCCAGGACCACAGGGAGGTGCTCCGACTTAGGCTCTGACTTAATCTCTGGGGTGCCAGCAGCTTCCTATGTGGCCCTGACCTGCCCCCCATGAGGTCGGAGGCCCACAGGAGAGGCTGGGCTGTGAGGAGGCCCGAGCCTCCCTCCACTCCAGCCAGCGAGGCACGGGTGAGCAGGCCCCCTGTGACCAAGGCTCTCGGCATGCCAGATTTTGGTCAGCTCCGTTTTCCCCAGGAACTGTCCGTGCAGCCTGCTGAATGAAGCCCTGGCTCCTCCAAAGGCCTATGAGCAGGTGGGAGCCTCGCCCTGCCCTCTTGTGTCCATGCAGGGGAGCCCCAGCCTTGGGGACGGCTCAGCTGCTGTCCACCCCCACCTGGGGCTGGAGGTCACCGTCCAGCAAGGGAACTGAGTCCAACTGCATGCACCATCGAGTGCCACGGCAGCTGGACCCACAGGGACATTGGGTCACCAGCACCTGCCCCACCCCAGGCAGGCACCTATCGCCTGTTGGATGGAACCCGAGGCCCCGCAGGAGCCCTGTGACAGCTGTCACCTGTGGGTGATGACACCTCTGCCAGTGCCTTCCGCTCCTTTGTGAATGGGGAGAAGATGGGACCTAACTTAGCAGACTCGGATCCATCCCCATGACTGGGACGTGCAGGTCCCTGGGGCATCTCCAGTGGACATTGTCTCTCGCCTTTCCCTGGGTCCTTTCTAACCCCTGGCCATAGTGGAGGGCGTTTCCAGCTGCCAGTGTGAAGAGCTGGCGCTGTTCAGAGCAAGCCCGTCCTGAGTCGCTGAGAGCTAGCCTCGTGGCCGTGAGGGCCTCGGTGCCCTCTGCCGACTCAGACTCGGGTCTGGGACCCATGGAGCAGCAGTCCCTCAGGTGCCCAGAGAGGCCCCGTCCTTATAGGGACTGTGGAGGGTGAGCCTAGCCAAGTGGGGCTGCCAGGGTGGTAGCACATCCCATTGGGCGCCACAGAGTGCCACGTGCCCCATGTGGTCAGGACAGACTCAGCTGTGACTTCTTTCCAGTGTGGCTGTAGTGGGCACAGAGCTCCCCTGGGTGAGCTGGAGCCACCTGTGTCCCCTGCAGGCTCCCCTGCACTCCCTGGCTCTGCGCCCACCTTATCTCTGCCAGCCTGTCCACCTGCAGTGCGCAGGGGACTGGAAGCCTGGACATTACCTGAGAGGCTGTCCACGATCTCATTGTCTCTGCTGGTCAGGTCTGGGGCAAGTGGAACAAAGGCCCTGGGGCTCTGCCGGAGCCTCACCAGGGTCACTCTGGCCATAGGAGGCAAGGACTTCAGCCGCGGGTAGTAGAAGGAATTCGCAGGGTGACTGGGAGAGGAAGACGTTATCTGGGTTGGAGGAAGAGAGGGAGTTGGCACAGGGTCCAGGAAGCCCACCTTCCTGTGTGTGCATGGCCCACTGGGCAGCACCCAGTGTCCAGCCAGGAACTGCTGGAAAACAGACCCCGGTCTGGACCTCATCTGAGCAACACCCACACCCAGGACAGCCGGCCACGCTTGCCATGCCCTCTGCCTGGCCAGGGGGCAGCACAGGCTCAGCTGAGACGCTGTGGTGCTGGGCTCCGCCCCAGGCAGGAGCTGGGAAGCAGGCCAGGAGGGGGCCTGCAGGACCTCGTGTCTCACTCTGCTCCCTGCATGTGGCCGGCAGACAGGTGGGACTGCACCCAGCTCACTGCAGCACCAGGACAGGGCCCTTCCCTGCAGGAGCCCAAGGCCCAGCCCTGCCCCCCTGGCCCACTCACCTCAGTTACCGTGTCCTGAGGGATGGTCGCAAAGTTGGGGGAGGAGAAGGTGAAGCCACTGTCTGTCCCCGCGTCATGGGGGTAGAGGTCCAGGGAGGCCTGCTCCTTCCAGCGGCCTCCCTCACACAGGTCCAGGCTGTCCACACCCACAAACCAGTCAGGACTGGGGACGATGCGCACCACGAAGGACACCTGTGTGCAGCAGAGGCTCAGCGGGCAGTGGCCTCAGGAGCACCTCCCGCCCTCTCCCGGCCACAGCTTACCAGCGAGTGCCGGGGCTGCACCTCCAGCTCTGTGGAAGTCTGGCCCGTGCCGCTGGGGACGGCAGGGGCTGAGAACACGGCCAGCACGCTCTGGACCTTCTCTCCGGCGGCCTCCAGCTCCTTCATCAGGGCCCAGGCCTCCCCGCGCTCCGCGAAGTCCCGCAGCCCGTTGCTGACGTAGGCATCCTTTCTCCACATGCTGTAGTCAGAGCTGTGCGAGGCCCCTGTGCCACAGCCAGGCCGTGTGAGCAGGTGGCGGGGACACGCAGCCGCCCAGGCTCAGGTCCCAGCTGGCCAGCCCAGTGGACACCTCATCCTTCCCTTCCTGATCATCAGCTCCCCCAGCTGGGAGGCGAAGAACCACGTCCACTCCACGGTGACATTCTACATCCACACACTGTAGGGACACCCGGCTGAGTGACGGATGGCCAGCCAACCTGGCCCATGACTGCCCCCCTGCTGCTCACTACATCCTGAGCCCAGACCATCAATGGCTGGCACACAGTAGGTGCTTAGCAAGCATCTCAAAGTCTGTTGGATGAGAGTGCCCCAACTCGTGAAGCACTGCGCAGAGCCCTCCCAGGTGGGGCGTCACCACGGAACATGCCGGCACGGGGAGAGGGATGCCTTACCCAGTAGGGAAGACCACTGCGCAGGGGGCCGGAACAGCGGGTACTGCTTGGGGAAGGCCGCCTGGCTCCACTTGCCCGTGAAGGTGAGGCTGTACTTGGCTGGAGGCCGGGCTGTGCAGACGGCCTCTGCCCCCAGCGGCTGGCTGGCAGTGGAGCCAAGTGTGGCCAGGAGGAGGGCCCAGAGGCTGCTGCCCGCGGCAGCCGTGGTGCTCAGGTTTTCCATCACCTACAGCACAAGGAGAGCAGTGCTGGCACTGTGGATCCCAACAAGGCCCTGCCCACATGTCCCCCCCAGGCAAGAGCAGAGAGGGTCCCGGTGGTTGTGCACACCCCTGCTCCCCAGAGCCCTCAGCTGTGAGTCCCCAGACCCTGCACCCAGAGAAGCCTTAGATCGCCACCAAGTCTGCCAGGACCTCAGGGAGCCGGCAGCCTCAGAGCCCCCGGAATGGCCAGCCTTCCTGAGAGTGCGGAGCCAAGCGTGCCCAGGCCCTCGGGGTGGGGGGTTTGGCACAGGCCAGCAGTGGCTCTCTGCTGCGTCTCCAGAGAGGAGCCCCATCCTGGCACGGGTGGTGTGCACAGTGTGTGTGGGGTGAAGCAGCAGAGCTCGGTGGCCATCCCAGGGTGGGGTGGAGGAGGGTGCCCTCTGCGGTGCCGCAGGTTCCAGGAGGCCAGGGCTAGTCTGGTCTGCACTCCCCAGGGACCCGGGTGCACCGTACTAACCTGAAGGAGCGGCAGAGGGGCGAGGAGCTGCTGGCTGCTGCGGGTCCCACTGAGAACCCAGAGCTCCTACTTATGCCCTAAGCTGGAGCTCGTCGGGCTGGCTGTTCCTTCCAGAGAGTGGCAGATGGGACAAGGGCAAGAGGGACTCTCTCTGCCTGGGGCCTGTGGGGCTGCTGCTCTCCAGCCTCCCACAGGCTGACTGCAGTGCTGACCTGCTCCGTGGAGCTCACTCCCGCCCTGGCTGGCCCTGGCCGCACCCTCTCTTTGTCTTCCCTCCCTCCCTCCTCCTGCCCTCCTCCTCCCCTCCCTCCCTCCCCGCACTCCCGCCCCCGCCTCCCCGGGCTCCCCGGGTGGTGCTGTGAGCAGCTGTGCACTCAGAGTCAGGGAGCTCAGGGCCAGGGGCCACAGAGGCGCCTGTTCATACCTTGCCCACAGGTACGACCTGAACGGCCCCATTCACAACCTGACCTGAAAAGAGAGGGAGGTAGGTTAGGGTGACCCAGGGCTCTCAGCTCAGCATCCCAGGACTTTGGGGCCCTGGGTGTCAGCCAAACACAGCTGCTTCCTTCCCACTGCAGCCTGCAACTGTGCAGGACAGCCCAGGAAGTCCACATTGCTGGCCAGAGGGCAGCGGGAGTTAGTCCCTCCCAGAGGGACTCAGAACCCAGGAGAGCACAGTAAGGTGCTCAGGGCTCAAGGATGAGCCACGGAAAAGGGGGCACCCTCCCTAGGACCCCACGTTGGTGGGCCAATGTATTCTGCAGCCACCCCATGGACACCCCCGCCCCCACCCAGAAGGTGGAGGGGCACAGACAGGAGGAAGGCTGGCATGGGCCTCTCCGGCTTGCCCTCCTTGGAGACAGGCAGACAGTCTGCAGGTTGTTGCTGCCCGTGTCAGCAAGATGTTTACAGAACCCTGTTGGGAGCTGGGAAGTGAGGCGAGGCGAGGCGTCTTGCTCAATCCCCAAGCCCGCCCTGCCCGTCAGAGGGGGCTGTCAAGTCTGGACAGAAGACATCTGGGCTTCAGAATCCTCTTAGCATTTCCTATTCAGACAGACCAGACAGTGGGAATAAATAGAATCAACAAGAATAGAATGCAAACACCGATGATCTAACGTGCATTCAAGTAAACACCAGGACCTCAGGGAAGTGACCCACCGTGTTGAGCCTCGGCAGGAGTCCCCACAGGGTTGACCTCAGGACCAGGAGCACTTGTGGGTGTGGGCCTGTCTGTGGAGCTTACCATATTCTAAATAGGTGCTCACAATACTTATTAATTCACTTGAAAAGAACATAATTCAGCTACTACATGTTAGCATGAACAACATAATGTCTTATAAAAAGCAGCTACTTTTCAAAATAAAAGCCCTAGGAGCCTGGCCTGCCCTACCAGGGCGATCTCACTGTCTGGCCTAATAGGAGACAGCTGTCTTCGCAGAGCTGCTCTGCGGTCCATCTGCTGAGATGTGTGGGTGAAGCCACGAAGACACCAGCCTTGCAGGGACACTGGGAAAGGCGGGCTCAGCTCGGCAGGACCTTCCGACAGTACAGGCCTGCGCTGCGGAGGGGCCTTGGCTCGGGGACCCTCGGGGATCCCTTCTGCTCCCAGCAGACGCTGAGGGCTGATCCAGAAGCCTGTTTCTCACGGAGGCCCGGGCGGCGGTTCTGCACTGCCCTGGGCTCTAGGACCCAAAGGACAGCAGTAACAGCCCCTGGGTTCCGGCTGGGAGCAGCAGCCTGGGACAACAGGCCCAAATGCTACCACAGGGCTGCCCCAAGTGACAGGATGGGACAGGGAAGGGACCCCCAAGGAGGCCAGGGGACGGAGGAGCTTCCTTCCTGTGACGCTGGCCCTGGCTTAGGCTGGGCTGGGGTCTCACAGGGCAGAGAGCCTGGCTGCAGGAGTAGCTCCTCTGTGCTGTCACAGGCTGGCTGGAGGGCCCCGAGCCTCGGGCTCCTCTGCGAATCAGGCCTGGTGCTCTCCTATGAAGGCCACACGAGGCAACGCTGTGCAAGTGACCCCCATGTATACACAGAGCATGTTCATTCACTGAGCAGCGTCTGAGGGACCCAGAGGCCCTGGGCTGCAGGTCTGGGATGGGAAGGACACTTCTCCTGACCAAGTTCTGTAACTCAGCAAGAGTTGGGTTAACTGGTCGGTTCTAGCACCAGGGTCCTCTGAGGACAGGGCTTTCCTGGAGGCCACTCAGCTGTGGCCTGAGCTTCTATTCAGGGGACGTGGGCAGGGCTGTGCTGTGGGCCAGGTGTCTGGGGTGCCCTGTTGATCCCTGGCCCACAGGGCCCAGGCCTGCTGCTCTGCCCACACCCCTAGGCCTTCTCTCAGCCTCCCTGCAGCTCAGGTTGGCACAGTGTGGGTGACCGTCAGGCCGGCACTCCCAGGAGCTGGCACTTCTGAAAGTGCCTGTTGGACAAGGAGATGCCCGTGTGGCCACTGCCAGATGCTCTGAAGGCCCTCCCCACCGGGGGTGGGAGGACCCCATGAGCAAGCCTTTGGCTGAGCGGAGCCCACACGGGCGGGCGCGCTGGCCCAGTACCCTGCCCTCCCAAGCCTGGCACAACAAGGGCCCTCTGAGGGCTCGCCCAGGCCCCTCCCTGGGGCGTGGCACCGGCCCTGAGCGGACCTGGGCAGAACCCAGCTCCCAGGCCACATCTGCTGACTCAGACCGGAATCCCCACCAGGGGGGGAGGCTGTCTCTTGCAGGCGGCACGTCTGGTGCCCAGAGGGGCCCTGCTGTGCATTTAAAACTTGCCCACAGATACCACACACCCCGCCCCCCCAGCCCTCTCCTCTGCTCACTCGCCCACTCCACACACATTTACCCAAGGCCTGGCTCCTGCCAGGCGCCCAGTGTCTGAACACACATGCTTTCTACAGGCCGCTCCGACCCTTGGGGGCTGCTCTCGGAGGAATGGGGCACACAGTCTGACTCTCCCTCTAATACCACCCCTTCTCCTTTCAGCACCTCACGGCCTTCCCTTCACGAGGACCTCCCAGCTTGCTCATGCCCCAGGGCCTTTGCACCCACAGCTCCTCTGCCTGAAGAACTCTTCCCATGCAGCTTCTTCCTGTCTTGCATGTCTGGGTCTCAAACAGAAGCCTGTGACACCAGCCCAGAGGAGCACCTGGGATGTCCTACCACACACGCCATGCTTTCATTTTTGATGAGGGTTCCTGCAGAGAAGGAACTCCATTGCAACAAGAAGAAGCACACGGGGTTGTGCTGCAGGTTGTTAAGGGGCTGGAGGAGGCTGGATTTCCAGAGCTGCACACCAGGCAGCGTGGTGCAGCCGACTCCTGACGTCACCTGCTGAGAAATCAAACCCACGGTGATGCTGCCCTGCTAACCCACACCCACACCCAGAGCACACCTCCTGACCTCCCAACTGGGCCACGGTTGTCTGGGTGCTTCTGACCCACAGTCTGAGCAGATCCAGGAACCAAGTACTGAGCCCAGCTCCAAGGCCTCGCCCTCCAGGGGAGCACCTAGAGGAACGGCGGAGGGCGCCCTTCTCAGCACCCGTGGCAGCCTCTTCCCTGTCCTAGTGTTCAAGCTACTGCAAAATGGAGCCACACACAGCTGCCCTCATTTGTGCCCTGGACACCCCACCGTGTCTGGACCCTGCACTCTCACGCGTTGGCCCCGACCCCCCAGAGGCACAGGGAGGCCAGGCTGTGCCTGTGGCTGCAGGTCTGGGAGGAGGATCTCGTGCTGCCGGGCGCTCTCAATACAGCTTTCCTCAGCTGTACCACTGTCTGGCTTCCCCAGAGGGGGTCTGTCTGTTTGGAGCAGCATGTGCCATGATGTCCCCTAATTCAAAGTGAGATGCCATGACCTCTGCACAGTGGCCAAGTACGGGCTTCTGGGAGTCCTCTCCCCATAGAGTCGGTGAGAAAACTGGCAAACATGTCAAAGCAGACGTTTTTCCCCCTCACCTGGAAATTAACCAGAGGCTTGCAGATGTCTGTAGATGTTTTATTCTGTTAATAAAATAGGCAAACTCTGGTGAAAATAGCAAGCTTTGCTGCCTTCCCTTGCCCCAGACCCCACCCTCTCTCCAGCTCTGTGGAAGCCTTAGAAACTGACGATCTGTGTCCATCTGCCCCAGGAGACCCCACTGGGAGGTTGTGCTTGACTTGATTCAGAGTTCACCTGGTGGCTGCTGCCCACGACACTCAGGCAATTGGAGGAGGCTGCAGTTGCCCAAGGTGGTGCCCAGACATTGGCTAAATAATAGACTAACCAACAAGCTGGAAGAAAAGGCTTGGGAATGGGATGTCCCTGGGGAACTTTGAGAAATTCCAACATTTTCCAGGTAAACTAGAGGACACTCATTGCCAGGGCGGTGCTTATGCTCAGGAAAGACCTTGGAGGGTCCAGGCTCTGGCTCTGAATCCGAGACTCTGTGCAAGCAGGACTTGAGAGCTACTGCAAGGTTCTCGTGGCTCAGGGTTGAGATCCTGCCCAAGGAACATGGAGAGGCCACAACAAAAAGAGTTATCGGTTCCAGGTAATTAGGGAGAACCCTTCCTAAAAATTAACCAGTCGCTGAGTTAACCAAGGAGAGACACTGGGCACAGATGGCAAAGAATACAGGTTTCATACAATTGATTTAGAAAAGTCCTTAACAAATCACAACAAGGAGAAAAGCAACAGACCCTAAGTGGAGGGTAGAATCTGATTCCACAGTCGCCACATTATTTTAAATGTCCATTTTCACCAAAAATTATGAGACATGGAAAAACAAAGGAATATGGCATTGGGGAAGATAGAACCAATAGGAACTGTCACTGAGGAAGTCCAGAGGCTGGACGTGCTGGACAAAGACTTTGGCTATCTGAAGCACGGAGGATTTGGAAATGGGTGGCCCCAAGACAGTGTGACCTGGGGGACAGGGGGAGGAGGAAGAAGGGAGAACATTGACCCTCTCCCAGTAAATCCTTTCCCAGTGATGAGACAAATCCCTGGGAAGGAAGCACAAATCAGTCCTGAAAATGGCAGTCCCCAGATAAACATGGACCCTTTATAGTGACCCTCATCCTTTGCCAGTAAACACAAGTTTCAAATTCTCACGACCTGTTTCCTGAGTGCCCAAACTGACCCCTTCTGTCAATAATTAAGTCACCTCTCAGTGTGACCTTCAAAAACCCAGACCCCTCTTGTAACCGGTGGCCGTTTTCTACCCAGAGAGTGGCCCCCCGCCTCCTGACTCTGCTGAAGGAGAGGCAGCCCTGCCGTGAGGCCTGCTCCCGCCGCACGGGCGCCTGGGCTGCACTGTGGGCCAGACCGTTCTGGTCAGTTTTCTCACAAAGTGTGTTCAAAGCCTACGGGAGCCACGTCTGGAAAGTGAAGTCCTGAGTGACGTGCACCCGGCAGGAGGCGAGGGAGCAGGAGAAGCTGCTGCAGCCACGGACCTGAGCAGACAGAAGGAAGCAGCTCACGGGCTCACCCAGCCTGGGAAGGGAGAGGACAGGAAAGTGGGGCTGACCCAGCGGCAGGAGGGCCACCAGCAAGATGCGGGGCGGGTCAAGGGGTGACGTCACCCAGAGACTTCCCAGCCCTGAGGAGAGCCGCCACCTGCACGTCCAGCAGCCCTGGGCCCACACGAGGGCGTGGAGGAGAGGCGCACTGGGAGCCGCCACCCAACGGTCCAGCCAGCCAGACCCATCGCCCACTCAGAGTGAGGCCTGGCCTCTGGCCAGAGGCTGTGGGGCCAGGGGGTGGTGAGTCGGCACAGAGTCCCGAGGGCAGAAGACCACACCCCAGAAACGAGGGGACGCTGAGGCAGCCCCGGTGACCACAGACAGAAGCACGTGAAGGAGAAGAAGCTCGGGCCTGGCTGGCGCTTCTGTGTGGGAAGCGGGTCCCCAGGAAAGCTGTGTCCAGGGGTGGGGCTGATCAACCCAGGGTGGGTCCATAATGCCAAGCGGCTGTGGGAAGGTGGTAGAGACAGGTGGGGAGGGGACCCTCTGCCCCCCCTCCACTGCCAGGAGCCACGTCACTTGCTTCCATCTTGCCTTTCCACCCCTCAGGCCCAGAGCCATGGAACTGGCCAACACAGCACAGAAAGGCAGCAGCCCAAGTGTGTGGCAGGGGCACGCGGCAGGGGCACGCATCGCCCACAGCAATAAGTGGGCAGGGAAGCAGATGGCGCCTTGTGGCCAAAGGTTCCAAGTGGAGAAGATGCGAGGTCCCAGACCTCTGACACCAGCAACAGGCCCCAGACTGAAGGACAGAGGAAGCTCTGGGACAGGACTGAGGCCTGGACGCCGTCCTGCATAGCGGGGGAGCAGCCAGAGGCCAGCAAGGACCGCTCAGCTTGCCACCCCGAGCACTCTGCCTGCTGTAGCACACACTGGGGCCCTGGGCCGGGTGCCTGGCCGGCTTTCATGTTGGGACCCAGGTTGGGAGTCCCCAGACCCTGACGGGGGTCGGAGGCCTCAACAGAGGAGTTGAAGGGTCCACAGATGGGTGGGAATGAAACCCCACGCTCCTGTGCAAGTCCAAGAAGAGCTCTCAGAGGAAGGAGAAAACCCTGGAGGAAGGCGAACCCCACGTGACAGAGCCCATGGGCACAGCCAAGGCGGAGCCACGGAAGAGACTGTGCAGAGACTCAGCGGAGAGCAGAGGCTCTCAGGGCCACGCCGACGCCACAGCGTGAGGACCAGAGGACAGCAGGCCGTGCTGACAGCAGGAGGGGACGGTCCAGCCAACACGCTAGAGAGCCTTGAAACAGAGACGGCCAGCACACCAAGCCCATCCTCTGAGCAGGTGGACCACATGGACGGCCCTGGGCCAGCTGGGCGGCGAGGAGGAGCCTGCAGTCCCCATGGTGGCCATGACAGTGGAGTTGCATAAGTCCACAAAGACCCAGGGCCATGAGAGCAGCACGGAGCCGCAGCCCAGGAAGCTGGAGACCCGTGGAGGGACCGCCACAGGACACTCCTGCCTAGGCTGATGCGTCAGAGGAGGGAGCTCTGCAGGGCTGGGCTGGCGTGGGCCACGTTAGCGGTGAAGTCCCCTCAGGGAGCCAGGGCCTGCAGCCACCAACGCGCAGGGGACAGGGAAAGTCAGTTCCTGGAATGTCCACGGAAGTGAAGGGGAGGAGCTCGTTTCTGAGGCCAGCATCACCCTGCACTAAAGCCCGAGGGAGTCTCTGCAGGAAAAGGAGGCCACAGAGCAGTGTCCCCGAGGATGGCATGAGCCCAGCCCCGCAGCCTGCTAAGACGAGCAGCTTCGGCTGCCCGCTGTGTGGAAGTGGGCCTGCACAGCACTGGGAAGGGGCAGGAGCGTCCACGTCCCGTCCACGTCCCGCCCACGTGGTTAACAAAATCCATGCATTCATGACAGGCTAGGAATAAAAGGAAACTACATCTGGGCTGGGGCTGGGGCTGTCGCTCAGCGGTAGAGCACTTGCCTAGGACGGGTAAGGCCCTGGGTTCTGTCCTCAGCACCAAATAAAAACAAATAAACAACAACAACAACAAACAAATAAAGGTTAAATTCTTAAAAAAAAAAAAAGGAAACCTCACCATAACGGCCGTGTGTGAAAAGCCCACAGTGAACATCTCAGGAGTGAAAGACAGAAAGCTTTTCTCCCGACACCTGATTCCCCTCGCTTCCCAAGCAGAGCTGCACATTCAGATCCAAGCCGTTGGGCAAGGGAGGGCAATGGCAGCCTC